GCTGGAACTGGATGATCTTTGAGGTCCCTTCCAACCCAAACCATTCTGTGATGCTATGATTCTATAAAGTTGGTCTACATGTCCCTTAACTGAAAGAATAAAGTCACTGCAGAAACAGACTGAGCTGTAGCTGAAATTCCTCCTTTAGGGGTATTTCTACAAAGAGAAACATGCTTTTAGTAGGATAATTTGTCTTTGAAAATGCACTTGGAGGAACACTTTAGGAAAGACTACTTGTCATCTGCCTAAAGACTTTCAGAGCATACTTCTGAAACTTAACTCATGCAAGGAACAGGTATGCAAAGTCAGGGCTCACACTTCAGAGCTTTAAATTAATCAAATTGTTAAAGAATGATTCACTTCTGACAGGAAGCCTAAACTATATTTACGAGAAAACTTCGTGTGCTAAGGGAGAATTAAAAGAGCTCCTCAGCCTGAGCGTAGCAACACCCCCAGCTACAAACACTTGGCAGAGTTATAAATACTTTATTAGTTTCAGTGTAATTTCCCCTTACACAGAAATCGGGTAGCAGCTACAAAACACTGCGTACAGGTCTGAAATATCCCAGCCTTAATAATTCCAAAGGTTGTAGCAGGCACAATAAATTCTGGTGCACAGCCCTTCCTGAGGGCAGCATCCAGCCCAAGGATGCAGTGCCCTGTGGTCCAAGGAAAACCCGCGGGCTGTGAAGGCTTCAGCCAGCCTACGCGCCGGGTTTCTGCAGAGGCTACGTGTCCAAAACCATCACTTAGAAATTTATTCCACGTTCCAGACGTTTCGGTATCCTTTTTTTTTATTGCTTTACAAAAGCCATGCTAACTGTACCTGGTACTCTCTCCAGTTTGCAACGGTTCTCCGCGTGCCACAGAAGAGAACCAGTTTGGATACCAGAAACCCTGCCACTATTTTGAAGTGCTATCCAACACCATCCTACCTTACGTCTCCGTACAGAGCCTGCTAACACCGCTACTTTCACTTTTTCATTGGAATTTCTATTGTCATGAAATCCTCAGCCAGTGTTACTTCTTGCCCACCTAACACTGACTCTGCCTGTCTCTTCAGCTCGGTGACGTCCGCGTCTCCCTCGCCTCTCTGAGCAGCTGGTTTATACCTCTGGCTGAAGTGAGTCAAAACCAGCTTCTTAACTTTACACAACCTGGCAAAATCCGATGCCGTTTTCGGAGTGCTATGACCATGCTCTCTGGCCTTCTCCTCTTGGGTATCGTCCAGCGTGGCTTCGTGTATCAGGACATCCGCTCCAGCGCAAAGCTTCACGGCCGCATCTCCCACCACCCCGGAACAATCCCCCAAAATGCAAATTTTTCTTCCAGGAATAGGGTCTTCTAAGACGTCTGAAGGAGAAATCGTTACTCCATTTTCTAGAACGACTGCAGTTCCGTTCTTCAGTTTCCCATATAAAGGACCTGGTTGAACTCCTGGTAAACAACAGCAGGAGAGTCCATTAGGTATTGTGATGAGTGTCAGGCTTAAAAAAAAATAATCACTTAAGAAGAGATAGGCTGTATATAGAGCTGTATGAGTGAAAAAATACAAGCTCAATATAAGTAACAACTGATATTTCACACACTTCATACAAATAAAGAGCTTGTAGTGTTAGCAGGAAGTGTGTTTGAAGGAAAGCTGCATTCTTCATATTAAAGTGAATAAAGTCATGCAAGTACACTGGCCATACATCTCCCTGAAAGCCACATTATGCTTTCTAAACTGTTAATATCTGAACTTGTTTGCTCTTCTCAGTTTGAGAATAGCCTGCAATACAAATTGGCGTTAGTGTTACACACCAATTCAGGCTGCTGCCCTGGTATGAAACGTTCAAATGTCTTTAATAGAAAAAGGAAAATTGAATTAAAATGGATTACAAAGAGAGAGGGCAGGTCTGATTTACTAGAACCCCTAGAAAGGTGGTCGGAAAAATAATTTCGGCTGCCTGTGAACCCAATTTTGTTAACATTTGCTGAAAACTGGAGCTACTACTCAGCTTGAACATGTGCATTTATGCATTTAAAAATTAAAAAAAGGAAAAATAAGTCAAAGTGGTTACCAAGGTCTTTCAGTTTCTGTACATTGAGTTTACCAGCCCGGGGCTTCTCTTCCACCACAAAGCCAAAGGAAGGAATGCGGTGAAATAGGCGAAATGCTTTCAGAACCAGCTGCTCATCCTCAACCAGCAAGTAAGAGTTTTCTACTGGATCCAGGTGGAGTAGTCTCCCTTCTGCTCCCTGGGGAGATGCCTCATCTCTGTCCAAGTAAGAAAAGTCTTTAAATTCTTCTGCGGGGCACTGGTCCCGTGTAGGTACCAGTTCATTGGAAAGAGGAGTTGCGAGTGGGAGAGCTCCATACTCCTCCAGATGAAGTTTCGTAGTCCTAATGGTCCGTAAATATCAACAGGTGGTTTGTTTGGGTCAGGACTGCTTTGGAGGCTAAGGGTACACAGCAGGCCAGGAAGTCCAAAAAAGTGGTCACCGTGAAGATGAGTTATGAAAATCTTGGTAATTCTGCCTATTGATGAGAACAACAGGAAGAGAAAAACAAATCAGAAAAAGATAGGAGAATAAACGAACGCCGTAACAACTCAGAAATAATCACTTTTTCACAAGGAGTAAGAAATAAGGAAGGAGGGAAATTAAAATAAAACCAGTGTTTAAGAAATAAATCCCAAACCACAAAGTATTTTCTTTCCACAGCGGCGGTAAGTTTCCACACAAGGTTTATTTTGGCTTGATTTGTCAAGAGAAGATGGCCGAGATGGAAGTTTTAGTTGCTTCTAAGCAAAACGTTCTACAAGCATGCAACAGAATGGGCTGGTGACATCTGCCATGTTAAAATGCAACAAAATGCTGGAAAGTGGTTGTGCTTTCATACATTACATGGGAACTGCAGGCTAATGAGAAACATAAAATGGAATCTGTGTTGTTCCTAGTTTTGTATCTAGCACATGAAATGAACATACTTTTTTTTTTTTAAAAAAAAAAAAGCATCCAGTTTTCATTTCAAAGTTTTTCAAAAGGCAAGAAGCCCACGGTTCCTGACTGGTTTGTTTCTAACAGATGAAAAACTGAACTTAAAGACTTGGGCTTTGTTTTGCATCTGAGTTGGTCTCACTCCAGCTCTCAGGCAGCGAGCCCTGCCCTTGCTCGATTGAAAAAGCCCAGAATTTTCTCTCATCACAGACACGTGTACTTTAATCAGGCTGCCTCGGTCTCTTCTGCCAGCCGAGTTCCCGCTCCCTCGCAGTAATGCATTTTCTCCAGCATCTCTTAGGACTGAGCAGTAAGAAGGACAGAATATCCTTGTTTTGATTTAAGAACGGATTAGTAAAAATCAGTAAATTAGCAGTCTATTCACTTGGTCATTACGGACAGAATATCCTTGTTTTGATTTAAGAACGATTAGTAAAAATCAGTAAATTAAGTAAGTCTATTCACTTGGTCATTAAATCCCCTGATAGCTTCAGATTTTGGCAGAGCAGGAGGCTGGTTTGCTGTCTATAATTGATAACTCCATCTTTACC